GGGGGGGGGGATCTGGGGACACGGGGACCCTGCGAGCGGGCGGGGACCCCCCGGGAGGGGACACGGGGACCCTTGGGGACCGGAGCAGCGTCCTCTGGGGATGGGACGCGGGGATCCCGACCCTGGTGACGGGACCGGCCTCCTCGGGGGGCGCGCCCCGGCTGGGAGGGGACACGGGGGCCCCTCTAACAGGACCCCAGCCCTCTCGGGGAGACGACTTCCTATCTGGGAGGGGACACGGGGACCCCAACCCTCTTAGGGGGACACTTCCCATCTGGGAGGGGACAGGGGGACACGGTGACCGGGCTGGGACCCCTGGGAGGGGACACGGGGACCCCTGGGACCTGAGCACCATCTTCTGGGTCAGGACAGGGACCCCGACCCCTCCTGGGGGGACACCTCCCATTTGGGGGGGGGACACAGGGACCCTGACCCCTCTAACAGGACCCCAACCCTCTTGGGGACAAGACATCCCATCTGGGAGGGGACACGGGGACCCCTGGGACCGGAGCACCGTCCTCTGGGGTGGGATGTTGGGATCCCGACCCCTCTAACAGGACCCCAACCCTCCTGGGGGGACACTTCCCATCTGGGAGGGGACACGGGGACCCCTGGGACTGGAGCACCATCCTCTGGGACAGGACAGGGACCCCAACCCCTCTAACAGGACCCCAACTCTCTTAGGGGGACACCTCCCATCTGGAAGGGACACGGCGACCCCTCTAAGAGGGCCTGATCCCTCCTGGGGGGACACTTCCCATCTGGGAGGGGACACGGGGACCCCTGGGACTGGAGCACCATCCTCTGGGACAGGACAGGGACCCCAACCCCTCTAACAGGACCCCAACTCTCTTAGGGGGACACCTCCCATCTGGAAGGGACCCGGGGACCCGGCGGGGACCCCTGGGAGGGGACACAGGGACCCCTCTAAGAGGACCCCACCCCTCTCGGGGATAAGACATCCCATCTGGGAGGGGACACAGGGACCCTGACCCCTCCTGGGGGGACACTTCCCATCTGGGAGGGGACACGGGGACCCCGACCCCTCTAAGAGGACCCCAACCCTCTCGGGGACAAGACATCCCATCTGGGACAGGACACAGGGACCCCAACCCCTCTAACAGGACCCCAACCCTCTTAGGGGGACACCTCCCATCTGGAAGGGGACCCAGTGACTGGGCTGGCACCCCCAGCAGGGCTGTGTGACCCCCCCACGACCCCGGGATGACCCAGGCCCAGATCCAACTCTGCTCCCTCCTCCTGCACGAGCATTTTGGGGAGATTGTGGAGAAAATTGGGACCTACCTGATCCGGACGGGGCCGCAGCCCCTGCGGGGGATCAGCGGGGACACGGGGCTGCTCCTGGACCAGGTGGGGCAGGAGCTGCAGGGGGAAGGGGGGGAGAAGGTCCTGGAGGAGAAACTGGGGGGGGAAAAATAACCCAGAGAAGGAACAAGGGGAAAAAAAATCATCGGGTGGGGGTTGAGTGGGAGAGATGGTTCCTTGTGGGAGGAGGGAATTGTGGAGTGTGAGGGTGGGGAGAGCCTGGGCCAGGTTGCCCAGGGAAGCTGTGGCTGCCCCATCCCTGGGGGTGTTGAAGGGCAGGTTGGATGGGACTTGGAGCAGCCTGGGCTGCTGGGAGGTGTCCCTGCCCATGGGGGGTGGGATCTGGATGAGCTTTCAGGTCCCTCCAACCCAAATCATCCCATGGTTTTCCATGCAGGGGGTGGGACTGGATGGGCATGAGGTCATGGGATGGTTTGGGTTGGGAGGGACCTTCAAAATCACCCAGATGATCCATTCAATGATCTTCAAGGTGGCTGCTCCATCCCTGGAAGTGTCCAAGGATCTAATGTGGGGCTTGGAGCAGCCTGGGCTGGTGGGAGGTGCCCCTGCCCATGCAGGGGGTTGGATCTAGATGCTCCTGAAGGTCCTTCCAACCCATCCCCTGGTTCCATGAAGACAGGGAAGAGTCCCCAGGGGACAAGATGGTGACACAAACACCAGGGTGTGTCACAGCGGGGTGGGCACAAAACAGTGGTGGATAAAACATCCCCCCCACCAGCCTGAGCTCAGCGTGGCCTTCTTGGGCAGGTGAAGAAGGGTCTTTGTGTCCTGATCCACCACAACCTGGTGAGCTACCAGGTGCAGAAGCGCGGGGTGGTGGAGTACGAGGCGCGGTGCCCGCGGGTGCTGCGCGTCCTGCGCTACCCCCGCTACATCTACACGGCCAAGACCCTCTACGGGGACACGGGGGAGCTGCTGGTGGAGGAGCTGCTGCTCCACGGCAAGATGAGCATGAGTGCTGTGGTCAGGAAGGTGGCTGACAGGCTGACGGAAACCATGGAAGGTGGGAAGGTCCTGAAGAAGCCAATGGGTGGGGTTTGGGAGAGGGAGGAGGTGGAGGGGGGAGTTGATGGATGGTGGCCTTCCATTGGAGAGTTGGCCAAGCATTGACCTCGTGGGTAGGGTTGGGTTCGTGGTTGGTAGAGTTGGGTTCATGGTAGGGTTGGGTTCATGGTTGGTAGGGTTGGGTTCATGGTTGGTAGGGTTGGGTTCATGGTTGGTAGAGTTGGGTTCATGGTAGGGTTGGGTTCATGGTTGGTAGGGTTGGGTTCATGGTTGGTAGAGTTGGGTTCATGGTAGGGTTGGGTTCATGGTTGGTAGAGCTGGGTTCATGGTTGGTAGAGCTGGGTTCATCATAGGGTTGGGTTAGTGGTTGATAGAGTTGGACTTTGGTTGGTAGAGTTTGGTTCTTGGTTGGTAGAGTTGGGTTCTTGGTTGGTAGAGTCGGGTTCATGGTTGGTAGAGTCGAGTTCATGGTTGGTAGAGTTGGGCTTAGGGTTGGTTTAACTGGGCTCATGGTCAGCCAAGTTGGGTTCATGGACTCCATGACCTTAAAGGTCTTTTCCAACCAGAAGGGTTCTGGGATCCTGTTACAAACTTGGAGGAGGAGCCACCCAAATCCTGCTCCCCACCCCAAAACATCCCCCGAGCAGCCTCCTCATGGTGGCTCCTCGAGGACAACGGAGCCACCTCATCCTCTGGAGCCACCAGGACATCCTCGGGTTGGGCAGAGCTTGGTGCCACCATCTCTCCCCTCTGGCCTAGATGGGAAAACCATGGATTATGCTGATGTCTCTGCCACCTTCATCCGCCTGGCGGACACACACTTTGTCCAGAGGTGCCCCCTGGTCCCCGAAGCCCCCGAGACCCCCGAGGTGCCACCTCCTCCTGCACCCACCTTGGTGATCAACGAGAAGGACATGTACGTCGTGCCCAGGCTGAACCTCATAGGTGAGAAGCCCCTCCAGGTGCTCCCAGGTGGTTCCCAGGTGGAGGGTTTGGGAGCTCTGGGCACCTTGGGAATGTTGAGGAGAAGATGGATTTGTCCACGTCCCACAGGGAAGGGGAAGCGGAGACGATCGTGTGAGGAGGAGGAGAGTGGGGAGCACAAAGCCAAGAGGCAGAAGAAAGAGGGAGAAAGTCTGGAGGTACCAGGGACACTGGGGACACCCCCCTGGCCTGGTCCTGCCCAGGGCTGAGCTCCGTCCTCTGAGCTCAGGGGCTGGAGGGATCCGGGACCTTTCCAGTCCTATTGTCCTGAGGAAACCAAAGGAGCAGCTTTGTGGCTCCTCCCACCATTTGGGGGTTTTCCCCTTCCATTTTGGGGTCTTCTTCCATTTTGGGGTCTTCTCCTTCCATTTGGTGGCTCCTCTCTCTCAGTTTGTGGCTCCTCACTCTCTATGATCTCATGGATCTTCTTCCTCCATCATGGATCTTCTTCCTCCATCCCATGGATCTTCTTCCTCCATCCCATGGCTCCTCACCTTCCATTCCATGGATCTTCTCTCCCCATCCCATGGCTCCTCTCCCCATCCCGTGGCTCCTCTCCCCACCCTGGGTCTCCCCTCTCTCCCCACAGCCCCCCCCAGACGATGGCATCTACTGGCAGGTGAACCTCGACCGCTTCCACCAGCACTTCCGAGACCAGGGAATCGTCAGCGCCGTCGCCAACCGCATGGACCAGGTGTGGGACAACCCCTGGCACCTCCTGCCCGGGACCTCGCTGGTCCTGGGGAGCTCTCCAGCCCTGCTCTGATGCCACCAGGAGTGGCCAGCTTGGGTTGTCCTGTGGGAATTCCCTGGAGCAGAGGTTCTCCCAGGATAAGGTGCCTTTTCCATCCCCTCCGAGCAGACCAGCAGTGAGATCGTGCGGACGATGCTGCGGATGAGCGAGGTCACCACGTCCTCCAGTGCTCCCTACACCCAACCCCTCTCCTCCAACGAGGTGGGTCCCTGCCCTGGGAAAGCTGGGATGCAGCCCAGGCCCCAGCACCACATTCCATGGAATTGTGAAGGTTGGAAAAGGCCTTCAAGATCATCATGTCCAACCAGGCCCGTAAAGCCGCTGCAGGTGTAAGAAAGCTGCTCGTTCCATGGAAATCCCACTGGTTTCTCCTCCTGCAGATATTCAGGTCCCTTCCAGCTGGATACAACATTGGGAAGCAGGTCTTGGACCAGTACCTCACCCTCCTGGCAGACGACCCGGTGAGAGCCATGGGCTTGTTGGATGGGTTGTGCTGCCCCAGCCTGGGATGTTCCCAGGCTCTTCTGATCAGGGATCAGGAATTTTCTTCTCAGAAAACTTCCCTGTTTGGACGCCCGGGATGTCCTGGGAAGCCAGGCCTGGGGAGGTGCTGAGCTCTGGTCTTCCCTCCTAGCTGGAGTTCGTGGGGAAATCGGGGGACAGCGGCGGGGGCACCTACACTGTCAGTATCCTTTGGGACAACCTCCCATCCCAGCTCCAAAAACCACTCCTGAGCATCCACGTTTGCCCTTGACCTTGTTCTCCTGCAGATCTGCACAAGGCCCTGGCATCCCTGGCCACGGCCACCCTGGAGTCTGTCGTGGAGGAGCGGTAACGCTGCGCGCGGGAACCAGCCGGGCCCTTCCTCCCTTCCCTCCACGGGTCCCCTTCCCATTCATTCCCTTCTCCTTCTCCCCCTCAGCTTCGGCTCCCGCTGCGCCAGGATCTTCCGCCTCCTCCTGAGGAAGAAGCACCTGGAGCAGAAGCAGGTGGAGGACTTTGCCATGATCCCTGCCAAGGAAGCCAAGGACATGCTCTACAAAATGCTCTCCGAGAACTTTGTGGCGCTGCAGGTTGAGTGTGGCCGCCCTGTCCCCACGGAGGGGGGACACCAGGGGATACAGAGACACCCCTCCCAGAATTCCTGCCCATGGGAATGCCCTCCCATCTTCTCTCTCCCACCAACAGGAGATTCCCAAGACCCCCGACCACGCGCCCTCCCGCACCTTCTACCTCTACACGGTGAACGTCCCGTCCGTGGCGCGGATGCTGCTCCACAGGTGCTACAAGGTACGTCCCAGGTACCACCCTG